TTTGATTATGTGGCCTTTCTTCCGGACTCGGAGTTTTAGGTAGAGAAGCAATAAAATAATTCACTGCTAAAATTTTCCAAATCGTCAAGGATTACCCATCAAAGTCAATTTCATTATTTGTGTTGATTTATGGATTCTTTAGGATTACCTGATTCATTATCTGAAAGAGAAATTCAACCAATGATCGTAACAACTGTGTTCTAACTCATTTTAGAGGTAAGGTTTTCAAACACTTTTAATTATAATAAGACGAAGTTATTTCTAGCTAATTTATTATTAAACACCAGTAATATGTAGAAAACAGGTAGTTAGAATTCTCCATATAGTTAATTACTACTATGCTCTATGTTATATATCTGAATCTTAGTAGAAGGTGTAAATAATACGATATTTAAAGTAATAAAGATAAATAGCACCGGTTTGTATAGTTTTCATTCATAATTTCTATATAATTTTATGCGTAAGCTAGCCTGTAAAATTTCAATTCTCCGCAACATAAAATCCATTATTTTGTGCTCCATTTATTAGATAAGGACACAAATAACGTAAAACAACTAGATGTATGGTATTAACGCTAACCCTAACCCTAACCCTAACCTTGGCTACCTGATGAATTATCCTATAAATAGAACAAACGTTTGAGGGTAATAACTCGAATAAGACAGCTGCTACATTACAAGTGAATAACTCGATCACCTAATATAATCATAATACCAAGAGTAGTCTAGTGAAAGAGATGAAATTGTAGCCAAATTTGACTCTGCCCAGTAGACTATTCTATCAGCATAGTGCAAATTAAAAATCAAATTCGTGCAAGTATTAGTTTATCTATCCTGATTAACGAATTAAATGAAGATATCGTAGATTGAGAAAATGTACGCGTTTATCTTATCTAAAGTTAAGAGGAAGTCCATCTACGAAATAAATTAGTTGATTCGAAACTATAATCAAAATAATCAATTAGAACTGCTAATAGAACTACGAAATGTTACTATTATCTAATAAAAGGGACGGATTGTATAGATGCGCGGCAAGAACTACAATAAAATGGCGTCCTTAATTAATCCCCAGGGACTATCAACGTTCTGGATTGTCGAGTTAATTCGGACAGTTTTTTATAACCGTTCGCTCATCATTTCTTCTTTTTGTGTAGACTTACGACAAGCTATCATTATATATCAGCCATTTGTACCACTAGAAGCCTCAATATCTAGACTAAGGAATTATTTTATGCGATCTGTAATGATGGGATGTTCTTATTGGTAAGGTCTTTAATCCACGGAGAACAATTGATTCGATTCGATATAAGGTTAGACTGAATCCCTCAG